CGAGAAGGTTATTGCCTGTGTTTTTTTGTTTATGGAACTATGTGAAGTGTTATTGATTATTAACCATTGACTTTTCACAACCATTAGTAATGATGACATGGTCTATTATCATGGTGTCCCTCCCAAGGTCGCAGGGAGAAGCGAGAGTGATGGCTCCTAACTGCACTAGCAGTCAGTGTTTCGTCGCCACTATGAGGGTTGGAACCTCTTTCATTATACTCCTGCTGGCTCAGGCTTCCGTCAGCATCGCAGGAGCCATGACCCCTGTGATGTTGCCATTTCACATCTATGATGAATCTGAACCACAAAGCCAAGATCCCTCCCATATTATAGGTGAAGTTATCGCCAGTGAATTTAGTCGCCATGTTCCAGCCTTGAGTAACAATCTGCGGGCGGAGTTGAACGTCATGAGAAATGATATAACTCATCATTTCGACTCACTTAAGCATTACATGGACAACAAACTTGACAGAATGCAGAGAGACGCTCCGAGCAGCATTGGATATGAGGACACCAGCAGCTTAGGCGAGGTGAGCGAGGCTCGCTTCAGCTCTTCCCATACGAACGCCGCTTCCATCCGCCATAACCTTGCAATGGCGGAGCTACGGCGTCTGAGTGCCGACCTTACTCGTACCCTAAATGAACAAGTAAGCAAATTAAGGGAAGAACTTCGCTCCAACCTTGACCACCTCAAGCAACAAGTTCAAAATTCTACAGAAAATATGGCTGAACGCCTTCAAGAGGAGTTTACTGCAAAAGCAGACGAGAGCACAACTATGCTGAAGAAGGTGTTCTTCCTCACGCGGAACCAGATGGCGATGATTCAGTCTCAACTAGGCAACATTACTACAGCTCTTCAAGAAGAACCAGAACGGACCAAGGCTGAAGCAGAGTCATTCACTCACACTATAATAGATACTACCACCACCACCACCGTACAGACCCCTACCATCACACAGACCCCCACTGTCACCACCACGCAGACCTCCACCACACAAATCCCCACCATTACCACCCCACAGTTCTCCACCACACAGGCCCCCACTGCCACCACCACACAGGCCCCCACTGTCACCACCACACAGACCTCTACTTCCACAGAGATGCCAGTCTCTACACAGACCACAACTACGCAATCCCCTACTATGACACAAACCCCCACCACTGCACAAACCCGAACCACCACAGAAACACCAATTCTAACCACATCTACCATCCCACCTACCACTAGCACTGCCACATCCACATCAACTGAGGTAAGCAAAATATTCATTAGATTTGTTTTGTCATAAGAAAAGAAAATATGAGAATACTGAAGGTTTAAATCCATGTGGTCAAAATTTGCCATTCTCTTCCATTTTCGAAGTCTCTCATCTTTGTTCTGGACTCTTGCTCTTACGTGTATCCAGTTGCGCGTCCATGTGTTGTAAAAGATTAGCAGAGACGTACCGGTTGAGGATCATCAGAAGAAAAAGGTTCCACAACAGAAGGACATTACAATGGATTCAGGGAAGACAAATCCTGCCTCACAAACCCATTACCCTCCACCGCAAGACATATTGGAGTCTCTATCCTCTATCCGTTAACTGCGGCCTGGTCTCAATCAGGCTGTTGGATTTAGGAGAATCGCGGATATCAAGCAAGGGGAAAAAAGTTGTGGGTTGGTTATATATTCTTGGACTGTAGGAAAACCTTCGTTATTGGTAGTTGTTTCCGACTTACAAAGTGCGTTACAGGTAATCTAGAAATTTGTCTCCCATCATCCTTCATATACAGCTCTTGTTATGTCACATTTCATATAAACGCAAAGAAGTAATTTGCTGGGTCCCTGGACATGCCGATGTTCAAGACAGTGAACATGCAGATTCAGCCGATCGTTCAGTTATTCAAGACCTCCCGATTTCCCCATAAAGATATTTGTACTCCCACTATTTTTTCGATGCTCTCTCAACATCTCCGCAACCGCTGGGAACAACGTTGGTTGTTGTTTTCTGTCAAACAACGTTTAGGATTCTGGCCATCATCTTTCCACTGTTATCGGGTTTGAGAGATCATCTCTTGCTTACGTGCTGACACACGACTCGCGTCGAGAAACGATAGTCACTACTGTGTGAACTGTCAGGTCGCCCTGCCAATTCAATATATCTTAATAGATTGTCCTCAGAGTGCACGCAGTATCCATTTCCAACATCTAAATCGTCGCAACACACTTGCTAACTTCCTCGCTAAAAGTCCCACCTTTAACACACATTCTCTATTTGACTTTTCAACTGGAACTAACTTATTGTACTAACTTTAATTTAAACTTACTCTTGCACTAAACCCCCCATTTCCATTAACCCCTAAATTTACATACTTATACCCATCGCTCACACTTAACCTTCGCACATTCCTACTTTTACATATCCCTCCCCAGTGTTGTATGACCCTTATGGGTTTAGCGCTTAACTTGATTATAACACTAATAATCAAAACTGATTGCCTCCCATTCTTCAAGCACTATGCGACTGATAAGCACTATGCGACTGATAAGCACTATGTGACTGATAAAAGTCTAACGCATCCCTGTGAATATGATGATAGTTATGGGCAAGTTCATTTACGGGCACCATAAATCTGATAAAAACAAGTTAGAGACCTGGGAATGATATCTGGAGAGAGAGGCAAGTAATTTGTGCCAAGTAGACAGTGAATCATTAGTCAGGGTAGCAGTTACAGTTCTCAAGATCCCAGGAAAAGCAACTTGTGAGGCCCAGGACAAGCAATTTGGGGGTGCCCAGGATAAGCAACGTGGGGGCCCAGGACAAGCAGCTTTTGCGGGCCGAGGACAAGCAACTTGGGGTGCCCAGGACAAGCAACTTGTGGGAGTCCAGGACAAGCACCCGGGGAATGCCTCTCATTCCCCATGTGTTATATGATCCTTCTTATAATAGCCTCAGAACTAGCCTCAGTGCAGTTAAGAGAAATAAGATCTTGCTCTGTTAGCAACCCAGGATAAGCCAAGAAAGTCAGTGCGTCATCGAAGGCTGTCTTATTTTCATCGGGATCTTTAAATCTTGTCCCCCAGGATGCGACCCACACCAGTCAACTAACACCCAGGTACCTACTTGCTTGCTAGATGAACGGGACAACAAGTGTAAGGAAATATACCCAATGTTTTCACCCTTGCCGGGAATCGAACCACGGACACTCAGCGTGTGAGGCGAGTGTTGGCTACCAGGCCACGGAACATCGTGGGTTGAACCATCTTTACAGTTTACTCTTGAGAAAGAAACAGACGCTAGCCTTTCTTTCCCTCGACGTCCTGCTCATTACAAAAGACTGCCACCTCAAATTCAAAATACACTGCAAACCCACCATTATTATTATTATTATAATCAAGGGGGAAGCGCTAAACCCGGAGGATTATACAGCGCCTGGGGGGGGGGGATGTGGAAGGCATTCAGGCTTAATTCGGGGAACTGGAGCACAGATCCAATTCCCTAAATCAAGAGCCCCTCACCAGCATCAAGGAACCTTCCTTGAGGGGTGCAAACCCACCAGGAAATCGACCTGGTACATTACTAATCATACCATGGTCAAGGAATTAAACGGGACACTTGTTGGCTTCCCCCCACCCCATCCCACCCCCTCAGAGCTTACAGGATCTGCATCCCGAAATATCACTGACCGTAGACTCAGCTTTCCTGTAGGTCACACCGAAGAATATATCACAACCGTCTGGAAAAGCAGCATAGGCATCATGACCATGATTTCAGGCGCCATTAATGACCTCAACAGACAAATGCAACAGCGCGCACCACGGTAAGACAGGTGCCTGCCACACCATGGTGAAACTACGACAAGAAATATGTAGGCGAAACATATCGCAGTTTAGCAACCAGAGTGCAAGAACAACATTTTCCGTGCACAACACATATTAATACACATATTGCAAAATTAAAGAGTTCACTGATAAGACACATTTGCAACACTTGTGTGTATTACATAAGCGTTTCGCCTGTACTATAGGCTTCTTCAGTCGAAAACAGGTAAATACAGTACTGGAGGTAGCAGTGGTAGTTTTAATTAATATGTTCAGTCCGTCAGCCTTGGTAGGAGGTGACAGAGTTCCATGATAGTCCACCACCCTCGCTATGGTCTCATTTCCAGAACCAGTCACCTGCTCGCGTCTGGCTTGATGCTTGTGTAAATATGGTTGTTGCTTAGTATTTTGTATTGACTTAAAAGATCCTACTAAACAAGCTAAACGTCGTCTGGCTAAAAGACTTGTTCTCCTTTTGTCTATTTCAACTGTAAGCGATCGCTCCAGATAAGTCTTTTTGGAATAAAATTGAATGTTTTTTTGTTTTAATGACATCGACTGTATCCTACCAAGTTATGTAACCCAGAGGAAATACATTCATTATTACTCATTCAATAGTTGTCTTTCTTAAAATGTTCGGACATCAGTTCTTTGATAAAAGGAATTGAATCTGTCCTCCCCTTCCTTGATTCGAACCTAAATTGTCTTCCATTCCCTCAGGTGCTCTATGATCTACTGGTTCATCGCTTCTAAATAATAATTCAGATATATAAATATTGATAAAATTCTGCATCTCTAAGGAACGTTGTGTGACCTATACCAGTTTATCACTTTTTTTTATATACAAAGTACTAATAATATCAACCTGTGTCAGTAAGCTGTATTAAAATAATAAGAACTGGCGTTGTTTTAATTAATTTTATATGTTTTTATTGAAAATTGGGGGTTTAATATGTTTATTATGAACCCCATACCCATGGTGTGGGCGGTAGTCACCCCATACCCATGGTGTGGGCGGTAGTCACTCCATACCCATGGTGTGGGCGGTAGTCACCCCATACCCATGGTGTGGGCGGTAGTCACCCCATACCCATGGTGTGGGCGGTAGTCAAAATATTACAGAGGTACATAATGGGTCCAGGGACTTGGCACCAAAGTTTTGATAGCTGAGCAAGTAACAAAGGTAACGAACTCCAGGTAGATATGGTCAAAATCATGACAAGTTACAAAGGTATTTACAGATTACAGAGGTACATAATGGGTCCATGGACTGGGCCCCAAAGTTTTGATAGCTGAACAAGATACAGTGGTAATGAACTCACAATTTACAAAGGTAATGAATCATGTAAGTAAATTTACTTAAGTTTATACATGGCTATAATCATGAACGAATTATAGAGTAATGAGCAATTCACACGTCCACACCCGGTCACAACTGTAATGAATTATTGGTGCAAATGTTAATTTTTGGGTCACATACACACGCGCGCGCTGGGCCAGGAGCTGTGAATCGACGCTCGCAACCACAACTAGGTGAATGCACACACACACACACACACACACACACACACACACACACACACACACGCACACATACGTGGTAATGCTTTATTTATAGGTAGCAGTCAGGGTATTTCTTCAGAATGGTCTGTAATGTACCACTGTAGATAAAATACTTCGCCATATCTTGAACATTTATGAGTGAGTTGTCTCTAAATTCATTTGGGAGGGAAAAGGTTACATACTTTTACAAATGCACAATTTTACGGAAGCATTTATTCGCACATAAATAATATGTATTGTATTGACATAGTGAAATGTGTTGATATAAAAGTAATGTATCATAGTGGATGCTGCAGGAAAAGGTGTTTCCCCGTGACTGTGAAGATGCGCTTAAGGGCGGCCAGCAGTCGGGCGTCACTAGAATACGACCAGCAGCTGACATGGAACCCAAGGTGGGTGTCAGTGTGGAATTACTAATATATGAGTTTACAACTTGCAGTCCCGCGTCTTTAAGCTGAGTGGCGTGACTGAGACTTACTGTATCGTGTGTATTCTGTCAGCCCCGTGTGGAGTCCACTATGTCTTTGCCATTTACCTTGAAGAACTTCTTCCTGATATTCCTGTGGTTCATTGGATATGCAGTTTCCATCAATGCTTTCTTGATCTTGTTACATCCCTGGCAAATAGCCTGACCCTGTTTATCTTGTGTGTTCCTTGTAATGATTTTTGTGGTGATGATATTCCCTCTTGTTCTTCGTTCCTCAAGTGACATAAGACTTAACTCTTTCATTTTTTTTGTACCTCATTTCCCTAATATGAGGTGCCAGTCTTGTCCCGCTCCTTCGTACTCTCTCAAGTTTTATTTGTATTTTATTAGGTGAGGGTTTCATATCGACGCTATGTACTCATGAATGTTTTGCACGTGAAGTTATTTAGTTTAATAACTTTACTGTGCACCCCATACTCATCCAGTGGTCGGTAGTTAAATGATTACAGAGGCACATAATAAGTCCATTGACTGGGTCCGAGTCTGGTAACATTTGTAACGAAATGTTTATGTAGGCAAGAATCTAGTCAAAACATTTATAATATACTTTATATGTGGTTGCGAGTTATTTATAATACCCAATATTTTAGTCAGGTTTAAATGATTATGAACTGTGTTTTGAAGGAGCTATTTTAAGTTCCTGAAAACTAACTGAATGTTTAAAAGATTTACCTGTGTTGTCGTTGATGTTCTGTTTACATGTGCTGTAAAGTAATGATTATTCCAATTTTTTTCTTTTTTTAACGATTGTTGGGTGTTTTCTTCCCATGAAGTCTGTCCAGGCTTTTCTCTAGCCTTGTTTCATCCACCTCACTGTATTTTTCTCATTATTTTGGTGTAGAGTGATATATACTACATATAATTAAATTCCAACCCAATAATCTTACCATCCACCAGTCCTCTCTCCCTTCATCAAGCTTCGCTCTTTGTAATAGTAATAATAATAATAATATAGCGCCGCGTGGAGAACTGACTGAAAGAATAAAATTTTTTTGCGATTTTTAACCCAGGGGAGCAGCTCTGTATAGCCCTTGTGGTTTAGCGCTTCTTTTTTATTATAATAATAATTTAACCCAGGGGAGAGTTAGCTGCCCAGGATAACCCAATAAAGTCAGTGCGTTATCGAGGACTGTCTGGCTTATTTCCATTGTGGTTCCTTAATCTTGTCTGCCAGAGTGCAACCTACCACACCCAGGTACTTACTGCTAGGTGAACAGGGGCAGCAAGTGTAAGGCAACATGCCCAACGTTTCAACCCGTGCTGGTGATCGAACCACGGACACTCGGCATGTGAACTGAGTGCCCCATTAACAGATTCATTAGTTTACAATGTTTGTCTTGGCATTCCTATGACAAATATTTCATGTGGGTGACTTCTTGTGTGGCGAGGACAGAAAGTGTGGTGCGAGCAAGAGTTAGATGGTGGCGGGTGGACGGTAATGCTACGAAGGTGGCACCAACCTACACAACTGGACTTCAGGCGCTCCTGGGAGTCTTACTCGACTGGCTTTGGTGACCCTAATGGAGAGTACTGGATAGGTGAGTCTTCCTCTGGCTCCTGTTCATCCTTTACCATGGTGGTAAAATAGAAGCAGTATTTTTTGAGCTGATTAATAACGATAACCCATGTATATATATTCTTTTTTCAATAAAAAATGTATTCCCCAGTTAAAAAAAAATATTTGCCAAAACTCCAGAGTCTGGCTGTATGGATAAAGTGCTGTGTACTCTGATGCCGGGTTTGCAGCTTCGAATTCTGCTGTGGACTGAAAGATAATATTTGGAAAATAATAATTTTTTAATAATATAAAATATAATAAATATATAATTTATATAAAAATATTTTTAAATTTTTGGGTGTGTGTGTGTGTGTGTACTAAAGAATTAAGATAGCGTGTGGTAGGTTTGGGACGCTGACCGTTGACAAAGGGGTAACCCGTACAGCCGCGTGTTGACATGCCCGGGGGATGGGGGGCTATTTCCCCCTCAGACTTCTTCAGGGGGTCACCAAAAAAAGCACTTCAAAAATAAATTCATAAAAAATAATAAAGCTGTTTTGCAAAAAGCTATTTCAGATTCAGTTATAATTAGGTTTTTTTAATATGACCCATTTTAAACCATTCCCCAGGTGCTGGAGGGTCCCAAACAAAGACTTATCCCCCTCAAAGAGGGTTTTAATTGTCTGGTCTTTTCACAATGAACCGCACAGAGGAAATAAAAAAATATGATCCTGTTTTACTTCAACGTGATTTAAAATAATTGTGGAAAAATTTACATTTTTGTTTTTATCATTATAACTAAAGTAAATGAACTAGATAATTTTTTTTTATCGTTAACAAGGGGAATTTGGGGAACCCCTAGGTCGAAAAAAATTTCCCCCCCTTCGATACCACCACTGTCATAACACGTTGCTGGGGACCTTTAAACTAAAAAAAATATAATCACCAGGAATGCTGGTAAATTTAAATTTTGTGGACTGTTTTTAAAAAATTTAAAAAAAAGGATTATATATACCAAAATTTTTTTGCAGAAGGGGAGAATATTTTAATCAAACACTCATAATTTGACGGGGATTAAGGTCATTACAGGACCCCCTTTTCCCTACATTTATAAAAAATTTAGGCCCAAAATTTTTAAACAAAAATTTGACAGTTTATCGAGGTTTGGGGTTTGTCTTCCCTGTCCCCGTTTCTAAATTTTAGCGGAATCACCCCAACAATTTCGTCCCCTATTTGAGGGTTAAAACCCCAAATTTTAACCTCTAGAGCACGAAAATTTTTCCCCATTCACTAACCTTCTAGTCCAAATTCAAACAAAAATGGCGACCCCCTTTCCCCCAAGGTCAGTTTTCCCATTTTCTATGACATAAAGTTTTAAATCGTAGGGCCATTTATTACATAAAAATACGAATTTCTGGAAAATTATACGTATTTTCCACCTGCGGCCGGGCGGGTTCGTTGCTAAAGACTAAAATTTTGCCTTTTGGCAAGGGTGGAGGACCTGGGTACAATGGATCTGGCCCCCAACGACGCATATTACACAAGTTTTAATCACCCTTTCTACACTTGCCCCCTTGTGGAATCCAAAAAATTTTCCCAAATACAATTTAAGGTATCTTGTACCCCCCCATGCATTTACTTTTTTTATGGGCATTTAGAACAATTAAATTTGTTAGATGAGGTTTTGGGCGTAAGATGGTGTTTCATAATCCCCCAATTCAGCTTTGAAACCCTACCTCTGCACCAATTCATTTTTCTTAAATACAGCCCTTTTCCCTTTTTTTTGGGAAACCCTTTTCAAAAATTTTTTCTTTCCTTTATCAATTTAATCTCATTTCCTAGTTTTCCTCCTGTACCCTCTTTTTTCCAATTTTCAAGGGATTAAAACTTATATATATATTCATCTTGTTAGAAATTTAAAACACCAACTTGTTACATTGTTGTTTGGGTAAAGAAAAATCCCCTTTTATATCAAGGCAAAGGGGAGGAAAACTATTGGAGCGGTGGTCACGGCAATTTCAACAGGACAATTTCCCTTTTTTGGGGCAATTGCTTTTTTTTTACCAACCAATCGGCCCTTTAAACCATGATCAGCATTTAAAAATTTAGCAAAAGGGAAAACCCTCGAACAAAATTCAGCGGGATTTCCTCACCGGGGTATAGATTAAATGTTAACATTGCGCCCCAAAAATATTATACTTCTCTTGCATCTGATTTTTTTCAGCGACTCTTTTTTGTACGCCCAAAATTTTTACTGTTCCCTTTACGAATCCTTTTAAAGGAACCTCTTTTCAGCCCAAAATTTAAGTGTCGCTAATTTTTATCTCCTGAAACTTATTTCTTATAAAATTTAGCAAATTTGACACCTACATAAATGGCTTTTAAATTTCCCAAACGAGGAAAGAAAGTGATTTAATTGGAGCACTTTAGCCTTAGACATACAAAAAGAAATAACACTATTAATTGAAGGGAAACAAAAGCTCCATTTGCAAATTTGAAGCAGCACAAAAATGTGGGGTAATTTTTCCATTTTTTTGGGTTTGGGCCCCCTGGATGGGGGGCCCCAACATTTAATTTTTCTAATCCCAATTAATTATCTCACCTGTTAAGAATCCCGTGAAAAATTTCATCCAAACATTTTTTTTTTAAATTTCCTGTTCCTGAATTAATAATTTCCCTTTTTTAAAGGGGGGCACTAAAAACCCCGTGGATCAAACATTTGGAAACTTCAGAAGAAAACTCTCTTATTTAAATTTATTGGGGATACTGTAATTATTAGGTTTTTCATTAAAAAATCTCCTTTTATCCCCAAATTTTATTTAAAAAAAAAGAAGCGTAAGCCACAAGGACTATCAGCATCCCCAAATTAAACCCAATAATTTCTACATTTGGCACTCTCTCCGGGGAAAATTTACTTTTTTGTCCTTTAATTGGCGAATTACTATTCCATTACCTCAAAGGATTTTTGCACTTGCATTATTTTTTTAAACCTCTCCCTAATCTTAACGTTCCTCTTTTTAGTCAACCCCGGGAAAATTTTCCACTAAAAATTTTTTGCTCATGCTTTACCAATGGACTTTCCATAGTTAAGGGGTCATTTACGTCGCTTGAAGTAGGAACAGACTGGGTGCACCAAATAAAACGCTCCTAAACAAAGGTTTCAGAGGGCTAAGTGGGTCCAGGATTCCAGGCCCCTAAAAAGCGGGTAAATCCCCCTCGCCTCTTGAAACCCCTCTTAGAAAAGCTTTACTTTTGTTAGCCATAAAGGCATAATTCTTCCCTGAAATTTAAAAAAGGTATCTCCTAACTTTCCCTCAACGAGGACCTGTCATCAGTCTTTAAACAGGTCATTTTTTTTACTCTTTGGGACTACAATTAAACGCAATCCCAAAAAGGGGGGGCTTAGAATCCTTTTTCCCCTCCGTGATGTGGCAAAGTGCCAAAAATTTTTTTTCTTGCCAGGAGGTACCTCTTCATAAAAATTTTTTAATTAACTGCTCAGCAATTTTATCATTATAGGCAGTTACAATTTTAAGTCTTTCCGTTCGAGAGCTGGCCTTTAATTGTTATAGCCATTCTGTAAAAAGTGGGGGAATTTTGGAGGTTCGTCCCACGGAAACGACCCCTATTGTCCAATTCAAAATTTTTCATCTTTCGGTACTGCTCCCGAGTAAAGAATCGACTGGACTTTCTTTTTACATTATTCCCCAAAGTGTCTAAACCCACAATTATCACGGTCAAACCATCCCTATGGAAGAATTTATGGGTAAAATTCATGAGAAGACACACAGTTATGGTTTTGTAGGTTTTCCTCTAGTCATGAATTATTATTACGAGGAATCCTACCATACATTACATGGCCTCCTGCAGTCTTCAACAGGGTGACACCACATTTCTTTACCATACCCTTTACAAAGGAGGCATAATAGTCAATACCTATCAAAATATTTATTGGGACTACAGAATTATCACTTACACCAGAAGGTGCTAAATTTACATTATTTGAGTCTTTCTGTAGCTTTACTAAGCCCTACTGTAGATATTTTCTCTGGAAGTCTATCTACAATTACTGCATTAACACATTTTTTCTCATTGCCCAACCTGACAGTTGCATAAACAGTGTCATACAATTGAGACCTTTTATCTGAGAGAAAACCAGATAATTTTAGAGTTGTAGGATCTCCCATCTGTACTTTCATACCATCAAGACATTTACGTTTAATGAAAGTACGTTGGGATCCCTGGTCTAATAATGCAGTTACATTTTTTGATTTATGCCTTTTATCATCAACTTTTACCTGTAACACAGGTAAGGCTACTTCAGCAAAACCATCATTATTAACATTAGCAGCAATTTTTACATTAGCTACTGTTGCGTCAGGATTGTCAACATTATCATTATTATCAACGTTATCATATAGACCCTTACACATGACTATATGATGTCTTCCTTGGTGACATTGATAACAGTTGTTTAATTTGGCATAGCAATCCTTTACATTGTGATTACCTAACATCTGATACATCTGTCAAGTTCCTCCAATCTTTCAACTTTATCATTCCATGAATTGTATGCATTGCAATTCTTAGAAAAATGAGTACCCTTGCAGAAAAGAGAATCACTCTTCTCTTTGACTGGTTTCTTATTAACTGGGCTACTCTTAGAAGGGTACTTATTCTTCTTACCTTGTGGAGAATCATTATTTCTGATTCCTGCTAATTGATATGCATCTATGCAACTCTTTTTAGGAAATGAATTTTGATTATTAACAATGGGATAATTTTTCCCTTTGTGAAACTTGACAGATACCTCAGAGTTATTATGTGTTGCATCTTTAAAATGAGTTAGCTGGCTGGTCTGCAACTGCACAATTAATTCTTGTAGACCTAGTCTTATTTCCTCCAGACCAAAATAACCCTTGTGATATTTGTTCGAGAACCATTCAAGTGTTTTATAGCTTAATTTATTCTGTACCATGACACTCAATAACCAGTCTGATCCCTTCAGATTATATTTATTACTTAAAGTTTTGAGAGTGCTCTCCAGTTTAACTCTAAACTGCTGTAAACCTTTGTAAGTGTGATCTGGGGATTTTAAATTAACAATGATATTCACTAGATCCAACCTTTGTTCTGTATTACCATAAGTTACTTTCAACAAGTCAGCTGCTTCCTTGTAAGAGTCATCTACATTGGGAAAGGCTTGTATGAGTATGTGAGCATCTCTTACCTGTCCTTTGAGGTAAAATAATTTAGTTACACAGGCTAGGTCACTCCTGTCATGCACAGCTGCTTTAAAAATTGACCAAAACTCCTCCCAGTTTTCACCAGGATTAAATACTGGTAAACATAGTTCTGGGAGTTTTGGCAAAGACATATTATTTGTTGGAGCAGACTGACCAACTGCCTGGTTTACACATTTTAATTTATTCAAGGCCTGACTTTTACAAGAATCTTTTCCTCTAATTCATAATACTGATTAATCATGAGATCTACTTCAGTCTCATCTACACAGTTTACTAACAAATCTCCTTCATATTTGTTGTAATATAATTTGTAAGAATCATATCATATCTGGTTGCCCGGTGGTCTGGTGGCTAAAACTCCCGCTTCACACACGGAGGGCCCGGGTTCGATTCCCGGCGGGTGGAAATTCCGACACGTTTCCTTACACCTATTGTCCTGTTCACCTAGCAGCAAATAGGTACCTGGGTGTTAGTCGACTGGTGTGGGTCGCATCCTGGGGGACAAGATTAAGGACCCCAATGGAAATAAGTTAGACAGTCCTCGATGACGCACTGACTTTCTTGGGTTATCCTGGGTGGCTAACCCTCCGGGGTTAAAAATCCGAACGAAATCTTAATCTTATCTATTACCTAAAGCATCTAAATACAATTTTAAATCATCAGTATTCACAGTTTCTTGATTCATTAATTCCAAACATTTATTATATGTCTTGGTTACATGACTCTTTCTAGCTTGCAATGATGCTTTCTTTGCTCTATATTCCATATGTTTGTCTTCTATATTAATTTCCTCATTTTCAGCCATGATGCAATGTATTAAATTCAACTTAATAACACTGATTATGTACTAAATTATGCACTTTATAAAGGTAAATAGTACAACTTACCTTTGAATAAATCCTAGCTACCTGAGCTTAGCAATTACATGTAAGAAAATTATATAAATTTTAAATGTACATTAATACAAACCTTTAGCCAGCCTTGGCTTATCAAAATTAATATTATACAAATTAATAAATCCTTGCCAGAATTTGGCATAGCAAAATTAATATTATACACATTAATATTAGTTACACTTGGCTTATCAATTACACATACACTGATATAAATCTTGGCCAGAATTATCTTATCAAATCAATATTATACAAATACATTAATATAAATCCTAGCCACTTTGGCTTTGCAAAATTAATGTACACATTAATATAATTAGCTACACTTGGCTTATCAATTACACATACACTTATACACATTAATATAATCTTCAGCCACCCTTGAGCTTAGCTTATCCAAATTAATATTGTAATAATTATAATCCACTACAAATTAAGTAAATTTGGGAACTTAACATCCACCTCCCTGTTATTTCACATATAATTATTAAGTAATTAGCTAATTAATGACTTCACTAATTACCTCCGGTTCAAGAAGGACCAACGGGCAAATTAAATGTGGAAAATTACATTTATCTGAATGTATCATTATATACATAACAGTAAATGAACATAGATAATTATTATTTATCAGTTAGACAAGTAGGAATTTGGGACACCTAGGTCACAAAAAATGCCCCCCTTCGATACCTACCACTGTCATAACCACAAGTTGCTCTGGACCTATTAATTAAATGAAATATACATCACCAGGAATGCTGGTAAATATATAAATTTGTGGACTGTATATTAAAATTAAAAAAGGATTATAGTATATACACACATTTATATAGCAGAAGGAGAATATATCTTAATCATAACACTCACTAATTTGACTGGAGATTAATGTGTCATGTACAGGACCCCCCCCCCCTTTTGCCTACATTTATGAAAAATTTACTGGCCAGAATTTAAACATAAATTAGACAGCTTATCTGAGGTTCCTGGAGTTGTCCTGTCCTGTCGCCTGATTCTCAAACTATGCAGGAATGCACATCCAACAATTTCGTCTCCTATTTGAGAGGTGTCAACCCAATTTTAACCTCTAGAGCACGAAAAATTCTTCCCATTACACTAACGCTTCTAGTCCAAATTCAAACAAAATGGCGACTGTCCCTTCTCCCCAGGCTCTGTTTCCCATTTTCTATGACATAAATGTTATTAAATACAGTATGGCCATCTATATACATATAAATACTGAATTTCTGGAAAATATATACAGTATTTTCCACACTAATTTTGGGGACTACAGTATGTGTTAGATTACATACCAGGATACGTAAATGAAGGCTGCAAGACTAATAAAATTTCAAATGAAAACTGACATAGCTAATACAATAGTCATTTCATTAGGACACAGAACATATTAAAGACAACATATTAAACCCTTGTCAGTTTGGATTCAGGAATAATAAAAGCACAAATGATGCTATCATACACATGCTGGAACTAATATATACCCCACTCGAAAAGAAAGAAGTCCCGCTGGGCATTTTCATTGATTTGCGTAAAGTTTTCGATACAGTCGACCATGAACTGCTGTACTCCAAATTAACGCACTATGGTATCAGAGGCCACTCCCTCAACTACCTAAAATCATACCTTAGTAACAACTCAATATGTGTATGCAAATGATGCAAACTCTTCCACTCAACCAATCACAGTAGGAGTCCCACAAGGAAGCGTCCTTGGACCACTCCTCTTTCTCATCTACATCAATGATCTACCGAATGCATCACAGCTACTCAAACCCATATTATTTGCAGATGACACTACATTTGTCTTTTCCCACCCAAACGCAGTCATACTAGCAAACACAGTCAATGCTGAATTACAGAAAATATCTGCCTGGAATATGACTAATAAACTTACCCTGAATACTGATAAAATCTATTTCATTCAGTTTGGAAACAAAGCTGCAAATGATTCGATTAACATAACGCTAAATGGATCATCAGTCACAAGACTCAGAGGGAAAATTCCTAGGTATCCACCTTGACAGTAGCCTTAAGTTCCGGACACACATACAACAAATCACCAAGAAAATCTCCAAGACTGTAGGCATACTATCAAAGATAAGGTACTACGTTCCACAATCAGCTCTCCTGGCACTGTACCATACACTCATATACCCTTATCTTACATATGGAATTTGTGCATGGGGATCAACAACACCCAATCACCTAAAACCCCTCATAACCTAGCAAAAGGCAGCAGTAAGAATGATAACGAATTCCTACTCCCGCCAACATACTCCACCAATTTTCAAAAATCTGAATCTGCTCACCATTAAGAATATCCATACTTATTCATGTGCCTACTTCATACACAGAACAATACACGCAAATATAAACCCTCCACTCAAACTTCTCCTCACCAACCTAAACAGAACACATGACCACAACACAAGACAGGTTTCTTTTTGATATACCTCGTGTCCATATCACACTGTGTAAAAACTATGCACATAAAGGGCCCTAAAATATGGAATTCATTACCAGAAGATATTAAAGTAAACCAGTCTGAAAATCAATTTAAGAATCTTCTCAAAAGCCACTTAATCACCCAAGACTAAATGCTAAATACTCAGTACACATTTACTCACCTATGTACTCCCACATCATAACTTCAACAATCACTTTGAACCTTCTATCCATTGTTGACAGGAATATAACTGAATCATTGTTTTCACAAAAACATTTTAGACTATATGAATATATCCTTTGTCTTATACAAATTTAATTCACTTATAATTAATAATCTACTGTTCAACTATGAAATAATTACTATCCTACTGTACAACTATGATATACTCCTTAGTGTTAAGTAGACTGTAAGTCAATAATGTTAAGTTGGCCCATAATGTCTAGGCATAATAGAGGCTCTCTTTGCATTGCAACCCACTATTCTAAATATAAAATCTCAATGTACTGTTTGCAAAGACATAAAATAAATAAATAAATAAAATGTAAACAAAGACTATGTCTTCAAGAAACCTTCTGCTAACCTAACATGCAAGAAGCAATAACTTTAAATTTGTAGAACATACAATAATATTTATTCTTTTAGCCTCAAGAGAATACAGAACAGCTTACTAGCTGGTAAAGTCAAGACTATACAGTATTATGATTCAGTGCAAACCATGGGCTTATCCACTTGAAGGCTGTTTGAGATGGTAGCCAAAAGTGCTGACCACTGTAAGTACTTTAGTGTATTTACAAGTGACAGAATCTGATTTAATCAATGAGATGAGGAAAAATTTTACTGAATTACTCAGATTAAGTAAAAACCTTATCTACAACAGTGTGGGCCCATCCAATTATTACAAACATGGTTATGAGCTAAATGTGGGCGGCTACAACGAGTCCAGCACTGCTGGTGATGCCATGGAATACCACAATGGTATGGACTTCAGCACATACGATGGAGACAATGATAGTGCCACAGGTGAGTGGGTGCCATACGCATGTAACAAAGCCTTTGCCAGTTACAAAGTCATTAAACGTTTAGCAGTGCTTAAATGCTGAAGCTTATGTTATAAGAATATGTTACGATTTTTAGACTATAAATAATGTTCAGCATATGAAGATCCTAACATAAGATTTGTTTTCAAAATAAACTCATAATAACTGTGTGCATCAAAAATAACAAAAGTACTTATAACTAATTTTTAAAGGGGTGGAAGGCCTCGGTCGGATGACCAAAAGCTCCAGTGGCGGGATATCAATATGACTAAGATCCACGTCAGGAAACACTTATCCTGTTTCCTGACAACCTTACCTAACCAAAGACAAAACCTGAGACAGTAAAAATGTAATAGTCGCTGATACATAAAATAATTGTTTTTAAACTATGATTATAGGTGGAAGCTGCTCGGAATGGTCAGGAGGCGGCGGTTGGTGGTTCAACTACTGCTACTACAGCAACCCCACTGGTATCTACCCACCTGCTGACCTGCCAGACAACACCAAGGTGGACCACCTGCTGGAATGGAGAAAGTGGCAGGGTTACCACACCTACCTCTCCTCCCTCATCATGATGATCAGGCCAAACTGACGTTCTCTTCCTGCACCTGTCACACTTGGGATCATCTTAACAGTAGCTGCTGGTAGTGTGTAGCACCACACAAAGCTAGTAGTATGGTGTAGTGTAGTCTAGTCATTGGTGTAGACAGGTTTATAACACTGGAATTTTCATAAAATGGGAGATAGGTAACCTTGTTTTATTTACTACACTTAATGGTTTACATATACTTTATTAATCTTATTATGTTGATAAACACATGGCACGCTTCTCTAATAGAACGTGACAAAACTAGCTCAGTTAAACTGCACTCTCTTCACTATTATATGTGATTAGCGTAATTACCAATAATGCATGCATACTGGTAGAGAAAATACAGAAGCAGATTATATGCATATAGTTTTTGCTACTACACTGATTTGTGCACTTATCTCAATACTAAACCGTACGATGTATAATGATCAAATAAATCTGATCGTGTTAATCTTTAAGAATTTCCTTCAGATGTCTGAAACTGACCTACTGGTGTTGTGAAGGGCTGTAGTGATGGTAAGTTGTGGCTGGTTGTAAAGTGTAGTAGTGTTGTAGAATGTGGTACTGTGTTGTAAATTCTAGTAGTGTGCTGTAGAGTGTGGTAGTGTGTTGTGAAGGGTGGTAGAGGTAATGGCAGCATGTTCTAGAATATGGTAGCATGTTGATGGTTGTTAAGTTCGGTAGCATGTTGTTGATGGTTGTACAGTGCAGTAGCATGTTGTTGATGGTTGTACAGTGCGGTGGTATGTTGTTGATGGTTGTACAGTGCGGTGGTATGTTGTTGATGGTTGTACAGTGCGGTGGTATGTTGTTGATGGTTGTACAGTGCGGTGGTATGTTGTTGATGGTTGTACAGTGCGGTGGTATGTTGTTGATGGATGTACAGTGCGGTGGTATGTTGTTGATGGTTGTACAGTGCGGTAGCATGTTGTTGATGGTTGTACAGTGCGGTGGTATGTTGTTGATGGTTGTACAGTGCGGTAGCATGTTGTTGATGATTGTACAGTGCGGTAGCCTGTTGTTGATGGTTGTACAGTGCGGTGGTATGTTGTTGATGGTTGTACAGTGCGGCAGCATGTTGTTGATGGTTGTACAGTGCGGTGGTATGTTGTTGATGGTTGTACAGTGCGGTGGTATGTTGTTGATGGTTGTACAGTGCGGTGGTATGTTGTTGATGGTTGTACAGTGCGGTAGCATGTTGTTGATGGTTGTACAGTGCGGTGGTATGTTGTTGATGGTTGTACAGTGCAGTAGCATGTTGTTGATGGTTGTACAGTGCGGTAGCATGTTGTTGATGGTTGTACAGTGCGGTAGCATGTTGTTGATGGTTGTACAGTGCAGTAGCATGTTGTTGATGGTTGTACAGTGCGGTAGCATGTTGTTGATGGTTGTACAGTGCGGTGGTATGTTGTTGATGGTTGTACAGTGCGGTAGCATGTTGTTGATGGTTGTACAGTGCGGTGACATGTTGTTGATGGTTGTACAGTGCAGTAGCATGTTGTTGATGGTTGTACAGTGCGGTAGCATGTTGTTGATGGTTGTACAGTGCGGTGACATGTTGTTGATGGTTGTACAGTGCGGTGGTATGTTGTTGATGGTTGTACAGTGCGGTGGTATGTTGTTGATGGTTGTACAGTGCGGTAGCATGTTGTTGATGGTTGTACAGTGCGGTGACATGTTGTTGATGGTTGTACAGTGCAGTAGCATGTTGTTGATGGTTGTACAGTGCGGTAGCATGTTGTTGATGGTTGTACAGTGCGGTGACATGTTGTTGATGGTTGTACAGTGCGGTGGAATGTTGTTGATGGTTGTACAGTGCGGTGGTATGTTGTTGATGGTTGTACAGTGCGGTAGCCTGTTGTTGATGGTTGTACAGTGCAGTAGCATGTTGTTGATGGTTGTACAGTGCGGTGACATGTTGTTGATGGTTGTACAGTGCGGTGGTATGTTGTTGATGGTTGTACAGTGCGGTGGTATGTTGTTGATGGTTGTACAGTGCGGTGGTATGTTGTTGATGGTTGTACAGTGCGGTGGTATGTTGTTGATGGTTGTACAGTGCGGTGGCCTGTTGTTGATGGTTGTACAGTGCGGTGGCCTGTTGTTGATGGTTGTACAGTGCGGTAGCCTGTTGTTGATGGTTGTACAGTGCGGTAGCCTGTTGTTGATGGTTGTACAGTGCGGTGGCCTGTTGTTGATGGTTGTACAGTGCGGTAGCCTGTTGTTGATGGTTGTACAGTGTGGTAGCCTGTTGTTGATGGTTGTACAGTGCGGTGGTATGTTGTTGATGGTTGTAAGATAAGATAAGATAAGATTTCGTTCGGATTTTTAACCCCGGAGGGTTAGCCACCCAGGATAACCCAAGAAAGTCAGCGCCAGGCCCGGTGGCCTGGTGGCTAAAGCTCCCGCTTCACACACGGAGGGCCCGGGTTCGATTCCCGGCGGGTGGAAACATTCGACACGTTTCCTTACACCTGTTGTCCTGTTCACCTAGCAGCAAATAGGTACCTGGGTGTTATTCGACTGGTGTGGGTCGCATCCTGGGGGACAAGATTAAGGACCCCAATGGAAATAAGTTACAGTCCTCGATGACGCACTGACTTTCTTGGGTTATCCTGGGTGGCTAACCCTCCGGGGTTAAAAATCCGAACGAAATCTTATCTTATCTCTTAACTTATTTCCATTGGGGTCCTTAATCTTGTCCCCCAGGATGCGACCCACACCAGTCGACTAACACCCAGGTACCTATTTGCTGCTAGGTGAACAGGACAACAGGTGTAAGGAAACGTGTCGAAATATTTCCACCCGCCGGGAATTGAACCCGGGCCCTCCGTGTGTGAAGCGGGAGCTTTAGCCACCAGGCTACCGGGCGGTGGTATGTTGTTGATGGTTGTACAGTGCGGTAGCCTGTTGTTGATGGTTGTACAGTGCGGTAGCCTGTTGTTGATGGTTGTACAGTGTGGTGGTATGTTGTTGATGGTTGTACAGTGCGGTAGCCTGTTGTTGATGGTTGTACAGTGCGGTGGTATGTTGTTGATGGTTGTACAGTGCGGTGGTATGTTGTTGATGGTTGTACAGTGCGGTGGCATGTTGTTGATGGTTGTACAGTGCGGTGGTATGTTGTTGATGGTTGTACAGTGCGGTAGCCTGTTGTTGATGGTTGTACAGTGCGGTGGTATGTTGTTGATGGTTGTACAGTGCGGTGGTATGTTGTTGATGGTTGTACAGTGCGGTGGCATGTTGTTGATGGTTGTACAGTGCGGTGGTATGTTGTTGATGGTTGTACAGTGCGGTGGTATGTTGTTGATGGTTGTACAGTGCGGTAGCCTGTTGTTGATGGTTGTACAGTGCGGTAGCCTGTTGTTGATGGTTGTACAGTGTGGTGGTATGTTGTTGATGGTTGTACAGTGCGGTAGCCTGTTGTTGATGGTTGTACAGTGCGGTGGTATGTTGTTGATGGTTGTACAGTGCGGTGGTATGTTGTTGATGGTTGTACAGTGCGGTGGCATGTTGTTGATGGTTGTACAGTGCGGTGGTATGTTGTTGATGGTTGTACAGTGCGGTAGCCTGTTGTTGATGGTTGTACAGTGCGGTGGTATGTTGTTGATGGTTGTACAGTGCGGTGGCATGTTGTTGATGGTTGTACAGTGCGGTGGTATGTTGTTGATGGTTGTACAGTGCGGTGGTATGTTGTTGATGGTTGTACAGTGCGGTGGTATGTTGTTTATGGTTGTACAATGCGGTGGTATGTTGTTGATGGTTGTACAGTGAGGTGGTATGTTGTTGATGGTTGTACAGTGCGGTAGCCTGTTGTTGATGGTTGTACAGTGCAGTGGTATGTTGTTTATGGTTGTACAGTGCGGTGGTATGTTGTTGATGGTTGTACAGTGCGGTGGTATGTTGTTGATGGTTGTACAGTGCGGTGGTATGTTGTTGATGGTTGTACAGTGCGGTGGTATGTTGTTGATGGTTGTACAGTGCGGTGGTATGTTGTTGATGGTTGTACAGTGCAGTGGTATGTTGTTGATGGTTGTACAGTGCGGTAGCCTGTTCTTGATGGTTGTACAGTGTGGTGGTATGTTGTTGATGGTTGTACAGTGCGGTGGTATGCTGTTGATGGTTGTAGAGTGCGGTAGCATGTTGTTGATGGTTGTACAGTGCGGTAGCATGTTGATGGTTGTACAGTGCGGTGGTATGTTGATGGTTGTACAGTGCGGTAGCATGTTGTTGATGGTTCTACAGTGCGGTAGCATGTTGATGGTTGTACAGTGCGGTAGCATGTTGTTGATGGTTGTACAGTGCGGTGGTATGTTGTTGATGGTTGTACAGTGCGGTGGTATGTTGTTGATGGTTGTACAGTGCGGTGGTATGTTGTTGATGGTTGTACAGTGCGGTAGCCTGTTGTTGATGGTTCTACAGTGCGGTGGTATGTTGTTGATGGTTGTACAGTGTGGTAGCATGTTGATGGTTTTACAGTGCGGTAGCATGTTGTTGATGGTTGTACAGTGCGGTGGTATGTTGTTGATGGTTGTACAGTGCGGTGGTATGTTGTTGATGGTTGTACAGTGCGGTGTTGTTGTTGATGGTTGTACAGTGTGGTAGCTGTTGATGGTTGTACAGTGCGGTGCATGTTGTTGATGGTTGTACAGTGCGGTGGTATGTTGTTGATGTTGTACAGTGTGGTGGTATGTTGTTGATGGTTGTACAGTGCGGTAGCCTGTTGTTGATGGTTGTACAGTGCGGTGGTATGTTGTTGATGGTTGTACAGTGCGGTGGTATGTTGTTGATGATTGTACAGTGCGGTGGTATGTTGTTGATGGTTGTACAGTGTAGGTAGCTGTTGTTGATGGTTGTACAGTGCGGTGGTATGTTGTTGATGGTTGTAGAGTAGGGTGGTATGTTGTTGATGGTTGTACAGTGCGGTGGTATGTTGTTGATGGTTGTAGAGTAGGGTGGTATGTTGTTGATGGTTGTACAGTGCGGTGGTATGTTGTTGATGGTTGTACAGTGCAGTGGTATGTTGTTGATGGTTGTACAGTGCGGTGGTATGTTGTTGATGGTTGTACAGTGCGGTGGTATGTTGTTGATGGTTGTACAGTGCGGTAGCATGTTGTTGATGGTTGTACAGTGCGGTAGCATGTTGTTCATGGTTGTACAGTGCGGTAGCAAGTTGTTGATGGTTGTACAGTGCAGTAGCATGTTGATGATGGTTGTACAGTGCGGTGGTATGTTGTTGATGGTTGTACAGTGCGGTAGCATGTTGTTGATGGTTGTACAGTGCGGTGGTATGTTGTTGATGGTTGTACAGTGCAGTAGCCTGTTGTTGATGGTTGTACAGTGCGGTAGCCTGTTGTTGATGGTTGTACAGTGCGGTGGTATGTTGTTGATGGTTGTACAGTGCGGTGGTATGTTGTTGATGGTTGTACAGTGCGGTGGTATGTTGTTGATGGTTGT